CGTTACATGCTTGTGTCATTTGCATGTTATCATGCAATAAGCACTAGTTTCATATTTTGGAATTGAAAAATGGTTTTAAGCTATATGCTATAGTGTCTTATGTTTGCAACTTCTTCAATTATTTTCTCTATATGCAATAATCTTTTATTTGTTGTGTCCCAATGCACAATCAGGACAAGAACTATATGAATTCACCGTCCATAAAAAAAATCATGTGCTAGCCCTAGGTAGGTTTGATTAGGGTATCTTTGTTTATATCCTCATGTCCATGATTTTGCTCATACAAACCCATTAGGGCATTCTTTTATAACTAGATATATGCCCGTGCGTTGCACCGGGGCCACAATTTATTGAACTGAACCCGAGTAATCGGGGCGAGACGCGTGAGCTCCGAGGACTTCGTATCGGACATGGACACATGTATCTAGTCTTTGTATCGAACGGGTAGGACGCAGCGACGCATGAGCTCCGAGTGGAGGATGATTCGTATCGGACGCGGGCGCGTGAGCAGGGATCGAGACTTGATATCACTGGGTAGACGATGATGTTACAGTCTTTTTTAGGTGTAGAGATTTCGTAAGTTGGTTTGTTAAGCAATGTGCTATTTTGGCTTTTTGGTAACTGGTACTAGTACCGACAAAGAATTAGCAAATATTTGGGAAAAAAATCTCCAGCAGTTAAATTGTTTTGCTTGCCCTCGTTTGCTATACTATTGAACTTGTACATCAGCTAAGAAAAATGTAACAGAGCTATCACTGGAAATACAAGGGAACGCTTAGAAAAGTTGCTTAAGAGTCCAGACTGATAATACCCCATAAAACAACCTTTCTATAATAGATATGGAACACAAATGGCAGAAAAAAATGTGATGACGTGTTTACGATCATGCATGATACATGCAATGCGGAGCTGCATCTGTGGCATCTTGGGTCCTAGCGGGCCTTTGAATTTGGCCTTATTACTTTAACAAATCAGTTATGCACATAGAGCATGTAACATCATCTTTTGTCTTGAGCGTTTCTCCTACTTTCGTCTATTTGCCTCATGGTTGTGTGTTTCATTGTTGTCAACAGCAATGCTGGTTTTCAGCTACCCAACTTAATTTGTACAAAAGTACTTGAAGAAGAGGAAGAAAGCTCTTCTGAAGATAGGAGCTTGAGCTTTGAAGCTGTTACACCTGAACAGGATGCCCCATATAATGATGACAATGAAGAATCTCAAATACCTGTTGAGAAGCATCACCACATTCTTGAAGAGGTTGATGGTGAGCTTGAGATGGAGGATGTAGCTCCACCATCTGATATTGAAGCCACCACCAAATGCCAACCAGAGCAAAGTGACACCAATTGTGCACCATGTGATCAACGGCTTTCAGATGTTGGCCCTCCACTTCCTGTGGACCGGCCTCCATCACCTCCGCCGTTGCCATCATCTCCTCCGCCTGTGCCACCTCCTCCACCTGCCCCCGTTCCTCAGAGTGCGCAGATGCAGCCTAAATTACAAATGGCATCTGATCCCATTGGGCCGCATCCTCCAAGAACTACATATGTATGTATATTTTGTTCCTGTGCAAGAAGAGATTATGCAATCATAATGTCATGTACCTAATAGGTACTTCTTTCTTTTCCTTTTTTACAGAATGTTCAAAGTCAACAACCCCATTCAATTGCAGAGCGCCCAGGTAACATGAATTCTTCTGCTGCATCATTGCCACCCCCACCTTTTAATAATTCGGGATATGGAGGGCAACCAAATCAGATACCACCTCCCCCCCCACCACCAATGGCACCACTCAATCCTCCTGGTCCCCATGGTAGTTTCCCTGCTCCCCCAGCACCATACCATGGGAATAACTATCATCGGCCTCCAGCCACAACAATGCCTAACGAGGGATATCATCTGCAACCACCCCCCCCTCCACCACCTCCAAATCAATTCCCTTCTGTGCCACCAGAACACCAACATAGGCCATATCACTGGGGTAATAACTGTCCACCTTATCCTGAGAGATATCGGTACAATGGACATGATCAAGGTCATCACAGACATGATAGAGGGCATCATGGGCATGACAGACAACAACATTATGATGATAGAGGATACCACTATGATGATAGAGGATATCACTATGATGATAGAGGCCATTACTTCGATGATAGAAGACATCATTTTGATGACAGAGGACATCACTTCGATGAGAGAGCTATTAGGGGGCCAATGCACAATGAGGCTGCTGACAGGGGAAGATATCCTTTTCCTCCAGGTACGGCCATGGTCATGAATCTCTTCTTATTTATCATGGTCATCATGCTGTAAGGTACCCTAATAAAAATAAGATATGCTAATGCTTTTGAAGGAATGAGCTATTGCTTGTTATATGATCATCTACATCCAGCACTGAGTTGATTTGTCTTGTTGTTGAGTCATATGCAGGACCTCCACCGATTCCTGACCATTTTGAAGCTCCACCAGCCCCAATGCACTATGGGCGACCTTCAGATCCTCCACCAGGGCCTTGTGCAGGGTGGTCTAGGCCGCCTAGGATATCTAATAACTATTCTCCCTCAAGACATTCTGTGGAACCTCCAGTTTCACATGCAGCTGGAGGTATGTAACATGTGTTGATATATATATGCTTTTTAATGAAAGTTGCTTCCATTTCCCATTAATATTTGTTTCTTGAAATCCGGTCTTGTAAAGAATTGCTAGTCCATCAGTCCCAAAATATTGAGGACTTTGGTTTGTCCCAAGTCAAACTATACTAAGTTTATAAAAAAGAACAGTAATATTTATGAACTTGTAGATGTTAATACTAAACTAAAAGCTTTTATGACAAAAAATCCTTATGTTTTGGGATGGAGTATAGTTTTGTTGCTAAGGTAGAGGATTTTCAGGCTTCACTCACGAGCTTCAGCGAAAAGTCAGGTAACAACGACGTGAAAGAGTGCCATAGTTTTGTTGAATAGGATCAGAGTCTTGTTCTCCATTTTATGTTTACTTTAAAGTAGCTTTTCATCAGTAGTGCAGTAATTATAATTCCTGTTACTTGTTAATAACAAAGTTGTATTTATTTCATTTGTTCGTTGTGAGATGCTAAGATAAGAGCCACTGGGTATTTGTGAAAGAAAGCTTCTCAGTTCTCACATTCTCTTGCTTGGCGAGTAAAAATTGTGGATACTAAATGCACCTTTGGTACTGCAGGACATGGTGGATGGAGACCTAGATAACCTTTTGCAATATTGAAGTGGTAGGCTATTTGTTACATTGGCAGTGCTTTTGTTGAGGTTTACAAGGCATTGTCCTCTTTGTTTCATCTGACATCCCGTTTGTTTCAGGTGCTGATGCTTAGTCTGTGGGGGTTTAACCTGGGAGAGTCTGGTGTCTCTGCTTCAGATTAAGGCAGAAACGGAACACTCCAGGAAAGTGGGAGCTGGTACCTGCCTCCTTGTACATATGTATCTCAAGGATTCTATGGCAGTCGGTCTGCCTGAAGTGCTGTTGTATCCTAGGGGTAGACTGTGCGACCACACGCAGAGCTGAGTTGTAGGGATAGGATGTCTTTTATCAACCGATTGTAGTCTTATTAGATTGTATTTGTTAGTGCCAGAGTCTTCGATTTCATTGCTGATGTCCATTCCTGAATTCCTCCTGGCCTCAGACGACAGCCTGCTGCTCTGATGACTTGCCGAGACTGTTTGAGTACAGCGTACATATATGCCAAAAAAGAGTGAAATACAAATCATTTTGCACCTGCTGGTGACCTGTCCGATCACTCACTCCTTGCATCTGGACAGTTTCAGCTTTGATGTTAACTTATTTTCAACCCCATTTTCGTGTATGTATATAGAGCAAGTACATATGGCGGAACTAATGACTTGCGATTGATCATTATTGTTTCCCTAGAAAACTACTAAATCTAATGTTACGTGTTTCTTCCTGTGATCACAAATATAGTTCCATTTAATTTGTGGCTGGTGTTGGTCGAACTACTTCAGCTTATTACTCTTCCAGAGATTGACAACACTACTGGTGTTACAATGAAAAATTATTCCTTATAGCTTATATTTATTTGATTTAAGATCATATATGTGACGATCAACTAGTATTTGTGATGATCTCTGAAAGGTGTTTGATTTAAATTTGTCCAAAGTCGTCAAACGTTTGTATCTTTAACCATTAATCTCTAGAAATTTAACATAGTTCATCATAATAAGATTTATGTTTTTAGATGAATCATGAGTAATATTTTCATAAAGTATAATCCGCGTGTTGTTAAACTATATGAATATTGAAAATTTATGGTCAAAGATAGAATTGAAATATTTCGCTTAGAACAAATAACAAAGGTAGAACTACAACTGCTATTAAGCGGATGGGGGATATATTATTCTTCATGATTGATAAGGATGAAGTACATTATTGTTCATGTTTTTTTTTTTGGTGTTGGCTGTATTGTCAATGACGCTGTGGAGCCGCGCCAGTCTCAATTACTCCTGTTTAAAAGAGTCTTCGACGAACATCTGAGAGCTAACATGCAATGTCCCCTAGCTAGAATGCCAGTATCCATCTACGTACCATCAAAGCCAAAAAACAAGTGAGTTGCATGCATGACCAAAGGGCCACTAACCTCTCACCAGCAAACCAGTACCTGTGTATATATGCATGTAAACAGGGTGGCCATGGGCTGAAGGACGCAACAAGTCGTTGGCCTGGGTCGATGCATGCCACCGGTATGAAGCACCTACCTAATTCAGAGCATGCACCGATGATCCGCTCACTCCTACTACTCGTCTCGTCTGGTTAAGCAGGACAGGAGGAAGCAAGCACCTAATCCAGACCGAGACGAGACCGTGCAGCGGCTGACCCAACTACTTGAAATAATCCCATGTCTTTATATAAACAAGTCGCACGCCGCCAGCGAGCTAGGGAGAGCCGGAGAGGCTAGGCCGCAACGGCTGAGCGAGCACTATCTAGCAGCTAGCAGGCCACAAAGACGATCGATGGCGGCCCCGGCGCCTCACGTCGCGGTGCTCGCCGCCGTCCTCCTCCTCCTCCCGTCCCTCCTCGCGCCCCTCGCCGCCGTCGCGCAGCCGACCAAGGGCGCCAAGGCGTTCTGCATTAGCCAGTTCGCCATCGCCAGCCAGGCCTGCTCCATCCTGCCGCCGAGTCCGCCCGACGAGCACCACCACCACGACGATGATGACGAGGACGAGGATGACCACGACGACGACGACGAGCATCATGACCGCGACCGTCGTCGCAGCCACCACGCGGCGGCCGTCAGCATCTCGGCCCTGATGGCGAGGAGTAACGGCAGCCACGGCGTCGTCGCTGGGAACCGCACCGTTGGTCACCACCAACACCAAGGGATCCGCACCCGCGCCGGGCACGGGCGCGGGCGCGGTCGAGGCCGTGGGCGGGGCCGCCGTGGGCAGGGCCGCCGTGGGCGTCTGGGGGACGACGGCGACGACCACCATGATGCCGACGACCCTGACCACGACGATGATCATGCTGACGACGACGAGCATCATGACGACGACGATCACAACGACGACGAAGACCACCACGACACTGACGACCCCGACCACGACGATGACCACGACGACGACGAGGACGACGAGGACGAGGATGACGATGACGACGAACACCACCACGACGAGGAGCTCCGCGCGTACCGCGACTGCTGCCGATGGCTCAAGGAGGTGCAGAAGGACTGCGTCTGCGAGGCGCTGCTGCGGCTGCCCCCCTTCCTCGTCAAGCCGCAGCACACTTACGTGGTCAGGGTCGGCAGGACGTGCAAGATCACCTACCGCTGCGGCGGCGTCTAGCTAGCCGGCCCCCATGTCGCCGGCCGGCCATACACCGTTCGACGTCCATGCAGCTGCCGCTCATGGCCGGAGTTTGATTGACTGCCGCGCGCGTGATTTCTTTACGATTACATGCATGTTTGGTCATTTTGTTCACGTAGGCAATATATATATTAGGTAGACATGGCGTGTGTTTGATTTATATATGTGGTTGCAACGTTGGTTGTCCACTTCCAGTAGCTTTGAAGGATAATGTAGTCCCTGAAAATTTTTCTACATGTCTCCTTGGTACTAATTTACTCCTATTTTTAGTAAATACTAGTACATCCTTATTTTAATTTGGATCAACTTTATAGTAAAGATTATCAATATTTTTAAACTAAATAGGCACACTATGGAAATATATTTCATAGTGAATATCATGATATATACTTATTTGGTCTCATAAATTTTGATAATTTTTTATATACTCTTAGTCAAACTTGAGATAATTTAATTTAAGACAAAGCTAAAATACCCACTCTTTGTGAGATGAAGGTCGTTATAGCATATGCTTTTGCCTTTCAAACGGAATGATGTCACTTGCTCCAGCATCTCAGCCGGCATAATGACCGTATAGAAAATGAGATGTTTTTTTAGATAATAGATAGAGATTCGGCCTTTATATCCACACGTGGATATACAGAGCCAAAGTTTACAAAAGAGCCTTTAGACTCCAAGCCTCAAAATTGAGGTACACAAAAAAAAGAGCAATAAGACTAAGAGAGCTAGCAAGACTAAAGCATGTTCGGCTGGTATTACAGCCGGCTGAAGCTATTTTGTTACGAGAGAAAAATACTGTAGATTCTAACTTGTATGTCCTTGCTTCAAACGTGCTTTGATCTTATGCAGTAGCAATCCTTCGCATCCTCGTTTACTTAGAAACTCTTGATGTTAGCTAGAGCATCTCCAAGAGTACCCAATAATCCTTTCTAATCCATGATTTTTGGAAAGAATGAAAAAAATCAATTTCCAACGACTCCAAAACTCATCTCCCAATCTTTTGGCACATAGGAAAAAAAACCCCTCTTGCATGTAAAGATCCGCGGACTCCAAGTCGCGCGTATCTTCTTTTCCCGTGCGTAATCTAAATGTGGAAGGACGTGTGAAAGAATAAAGTGTAGGAAAGGGTTCCTGATATAAATGTACAAGAGAGAAAGAATATATAAAAGTGGTTACCATAATTTAGAAATAGTATAAGATTAATTGTATTCTATATTTTAGAAGTGGATTATTAGAAACTCTTGGAGATGGTCTTTTTTATTCCTCCCAATACTTTTTTAGAAGTTGCAAAACTCCATATTTTTTGGAAGAAAATATTAGATACTCTTGGAGACGCTCTTAGAACTCAAAATTTGATCAATTGCAGTAGTAATCCTTAGCATCCTTATTTACTTAGAAACTCTTGATGTTAGGACGCAACCACCAAAGTAGGAATCACATGGACTTGCCGAGGCAACGCCTTCAAAAAGGGAGGTGACGTAGGCCCGTTGCCGTTGCCTGTCGAAAATGGACTAGGGCCATGTTTAGTTCCCCAGATTTCCTGAATTTGGCACTATGCAAAAAGAAGATTCCCCGTCACATCAAACTTACGGTACATGCATGGAGTATTAAATGTTAACGAAATTAAAAACTAATTATATAGTTTGGTTGTAATTTGCGAGATGAACGTTTTGAGCCTAATTAATCAACGATTGGACAATTATTACCAAATAAAAACAAAATACTACAGTGTTTGAACAGTGCTGCCGAATCCGGCGGCGCCGAATCCGGCCTCCAACTAAACACGGCCTAGGTTTTTCACCCGCAAGATCCACGGCGAGAGAAGAGGAGGGTGCCTCGACAGATAGATGCCTCCAAGGAGGAATATGGGCCCAAAGGCATCATCGTCATCAGCACAACAACAAGACAAAGGCTCGACCACACGTGGAGAAGCCGCCGCACCGCTACCGCTACCGCTGCGGCGCAGTTGCGCCGCCACCTCCACTGCGCGCTAATCCTGGAACAGGTGGCATACCGTCCACAGCAACGACACTGCCGCATCCGCGCCGTCCATCTGACCCCGTGGACTCGCAGACAGCGGTGCGACCATCGGCGCACCCCACCGCGGCCTCCAGCACGCAAAGCGGGGACTTGGCGTCGGCGCTCAGCACGCGCACCGCGGCTGGCATGACGCCCAACCGGACGGCAAGCCCTGAAGCCCACACGCGGAGTCCACCGCCTCCCCAGGCACCGGATCCAGGCAGGAGAACACCAGATCCGCCCGCACCAGGGCTGAATCCGCACCGCCGGCCGTCGGCTAGCGCTGCCGCCCCACGCAGGCCAAGACATGCGCCGTGAGCCCCACCATTAGCAAGAGAGAGAAAATGAGACGTGATTCAGATTCTATGGGACAGCCCTGTGTTCTAATCTTCAACTGGTTGTCATGACGAGCAAAATTCGAGAGGTTAAAGATTTGCACCAATAATGGGTTGTGACCCACGGACAAAGCAGGTGACCGGCTCCTGATGAAGACCTCTGGGGCTACTGTCGTTACTATGGGCACCAAATATCCCCATCATCGAGGAAAACACCCGACCAGGACAGAGTGGGCCGAACAAGCTACACAAGAAGCCTAATTAAACCGGATAGGGTGCCTCCACTTAGATATGCTTAAGAGCTAGAAGCCAATCAATGTGTAAGAGACCCACTCAGGTTGTCCGACTCCTATTCCATGTAATAAACTAGGGATCCGACTCTTATTTCCCGTAATTATTGGCGTAAAAACGTGTCGATACGTCTGGCACACAGCAACCCGAAAGGATCTGTTTAAGATGAGCCCGGAGATCCGCTTGGTTTCAATCGCAAGACACGGCGACCCTGCGAATTTCTCCCGAGTCGTGCCAGTCAATTTGACCTGCAATTGACAAGGAGAGAAAGTTTATCAGTAATTTAAGGTGGAACATGCCGGTCTTGCCCAGACAATTCCAAATGTGCCGCTTCGGGAGCAGCTAGAAGGGAAAATCGACTAAATAGCCGATACGCGAAGAAATTGGCTGTTATGGACTGTAAAGCTCATGTGTTGCGATTGATTTTATGTTGACAAGTACAATACACGTAGATATAAGTAATATCATTACTTAGGTGGGTATTACCAATGTAAAGTATTGAGCCGATGAATCTGACGAGAAAGGATATAACATGCGAACAAATTGACTATCTAGTACAAATAAATCTACAGACGCTCTGAATCTAATCTGTTACCATTAATAGTGAGGTTCGACCGGATCAATGGCAGCTATGATGATAATAACAAACTAAACCCGAAGAATCCGTAAAAATGCCTATATATTGACAGGTTTTCTGAAAGACATGCTATATGTGTGAAAGCACAAGCGAACCGGCTGAAATAGCCGATTTATGTAGAAAATGGACTACATCATGTGAACAATCGACTATTTAACATGGACAGAGCTATTAACTCATCAGACCTAACCTATTATCTTTAACAGTGGGGTTCGATCGGATCGATGATAGCCGTGATAAAGACAACAAATTAAATCTTTAAAATAAACAGATCTATTCACATTTAACAGAATCATGGAGACATACTGTATGCGTTAAAGCTCAGGCAATCGGCTATTTAGCCGATGCAGGCATAACAAACAGTTGAGGTCACGCCTGATCGAGAACAAATCTATCAACTAGCATCTTCCGATCTAAAGTGCCATCAGTGAGGATCGACCGGATCGTCACAGCCGTAATAGCGAACTATAGACCAGATTTAACTAGCCAGCAAACCTCCTCAAGATCAGACATGCCTTAACCACGTACTATGCATGATCAAGATCGAAGTAGAACAACCGATAAAACGTAACCCGTCTCTTGAAGTAAGAAACATCGTATTGCAACAAAGTAAACGATGGATTAAAAGGATGCGAAGCCGATCTAGATCGATCTCGACCGGGCAGGTTGATGTTGCTGAAAACTAATGAAAATAAGAACATCAGTAAGATCGGTAAATTAATGAATCTACTAGAAGGACGCCACTCTTATATAGAGCCGATAACTTGACCTTAATCTAATTCGAGTAGTGGATGTCGAACTTAACCGATGCAGCCGTACTTAAACTAGATAAAGATCGATAACTAGCTTATGCTAGAGCTCGCAGTGGAGGTCGAACTTAACCGATGCAGCCTTACAAACCAAAGCATAAGCCATGACGGTACTTACAGACAAGCCGGAGGTCGACCGGACTGATACAACCCTGCTTGTTGAAGAACTCGCCGAGATCTACACTACTCCTACTCCTAAGGGTTGGCGTAAAGCCAAAAAAATATTTTGTATTGATTGATTGGATATCTTTTTATAATAGCCGGGGTCTAATATTTATACCCGGAGCCTAAGTATGAATCCTTCTTAAGTACGACTTATCACAATCTTTGGTATAAGAGAAAACATTCCTAATTTAAGATAACTTGGACCCTAATCTTTTCCTTTTTTAGAGTCCGACATGTCTTTCTCGACGTCAACCGTAGCTTATTGTCGTTATCTGCTGATGTCATCTGAAGAGAGCCGATTTCAGTGCCGCATCTGAATCAGCTGAGATCGATCCTTATGCAATCGGTTCCTTGATGACATAATCTTGGAAGCTTCGAGTTCCCGCGTTCTTCTTCCTAAATTTTGGTGTAAACACATGCCCCATAATTTTGGGATAAAAATGATTTTATTCCAAAATTCCTATTTACCTGTTTATCACGTCGCAACCGTTTTATTCCAAGATATACGCGTGACTCGATATTCTCGGTCCGAACTTTATATAATACCCCAACAACATCATTTCCGATTCATTCGACCCATCTACTTTCCCCTTCTTCTTCGAGCGAGCCTCAACAGCCAAAGCCGCCATCGCCAAGGCCTCAACCCTAGCAAATCTTCTACTTCATCAAGCTATTATTCAAGCAACCTTCCCTAGATTCAGATCTATTTTGGCTGCAATGGCA